GACGCAAATGACGTCACACACGACAACAGCTAAGCTAAGTTAGCTGATACGACACTCGAAGTCGGACGGACACGATTTTCTGCCAATCTGTGTTTTTCCCTTTTTGGCCAAATATATTTTTTACTACAACTGTCTTGTTGACGGCGTCTTTTATTCGTTCCACTGGGGTTTAGCAGGTGTGTTTATAAAGAGACGAAAATTGTTTGGGGACTATCCCCCACGTTCTAGTTGAGATGGTATAACCCAAGAGGCAAAATGACGCTTGCTACTGTTGTTGCGAGTTGCCATTCGTTCTACTAAACCATTAGTCAAACGCCATCATGCCTTCTGTCGTTATTACACAAACAAAAATCTCTTCACTGTTACTCGTGTTAGTGCCTCAATATGGCTATGCTCGTGAAAGCAATACAACGAACTCAAACGCGTCTTCGTTCAATGTTGTCAACTAATATCCGGATTAATTTTATGCAAATTTTCCTCAATTCTCCGGAGAAATTTTCATAAAAAATTGAAAAACCCGGAATTCCGGGAAAATCCGGAGGACTTGCATCTCTGGTCGAGAAGGAACTGCAAGAAGATCCCCACTTGCGGATGATTTTAATTGGCCACTGTGGAATGGGCACTTGGGATCATGCGTTCATGTGTGAAAAAAATAATTTAAAGAAATATGCAAACAAATTGATTAGAACGTATAATGACCTCAAACGCCAAAGGAGATCATCAGAGAAGAGAAGTCAAACTTCAGAATGAAGCCCTGCATAGCATTCAAATTTGACTGAAGGGAGTCACCCCCAAAACAAGCACAAAAAAATGGTTTTAGCTGTTCTAAAATCTAACTTTCTCTCAACAAATTGTCAGGTGATGTGGAATAAAAAAAACTCCTTCAGTCCGCCAGAATGCTCTGAGAGGTGCAACACGGTCTGCCAAATACCCAAACATGGTCAACTCGACTTGCCCCTGCACGAAAAACAAGACGCACCGGTTTATGTACCGAGCGCTCATGTGCCTGTCTACATCGTTACAGTCCCGAGTCTCATTTACTTTACTTACTTTGCTTTATTTTATCGATTTTAATCTATTTGATCTGTTCCGATGCTTTTATTCACTTATGCTGTTCAATCACAATGAACACTATCTTTTAAATTGTGTGTGTTTGTGACCCAGATGTAGATTTGTAGAAGTAAAATCTGAAATGTTATCTCTCATTCATCTCTTGACGTCAAACCAAAATGTTTTCAGTCTACCACTACAATCAAAGGAATGGCCGTTCATTGTTCCAGTACTTATTATGTGTACGTCAGGAGTTTTCATTCTGATAATATTGGTCTAATATTATACTGTATATCTAAAATTTTGGGACAAGTCAATGTGGGCATCAAGTAGGGGTGTAAGAAGATATGTTTTTGTAGTGAACCATTTCCGTACTGGGCGTTCAGTTTGGCACAGGGCTGCGCATGGGCGAGTTCCAGGAATGGAAGTTGTGTGTTTTGTACCAGAGCCCACATGTGCAGTTTGTGTTCGCCGTTTGCATCATGGCTACAGCTAGCGATAAACCGGAGTTTCAGGACCCTCCCCTGTCAAGAAAATCTCCTGCTTGGGAGCATTTCAGCTTCCTGGTTAAATATTGAGTTGGGGAAAAATACGTGGTTGAAACTCAAGCTGCGTGCCGACACTTCTCAGCTGAGAATGGGTGAATTTCCGGGAACACGAAAAACATGCTAATGCACTTGAAACGCCACTACCCCAGTGTGGACTGTAGTTCAGTTGAACATGGGAAGCAGAGTTGCAGTGAGTGTTGTTTGATGTGCAGAATAGTATTATAACAGTGTTATCTTCTGATAAGCGACATTTCGGGGGTGGGGGTGGGGGGTTAGGGAAGCACAGGCTAAGGGATTGTTTTGCACATTCAGGGTTTTGATTTCACTCGTCCAATATGTCGATCACGATCGACCATAGCTCGCAGACTGATCCCAATTCGATCGTGAAGGGTGTCCGAGGGAAACAAAAAACAACCCAAATCATTTGTGTGTCTGTGTGCGTGTTATTAATGAGATATATTTTTGTGTTCGTGCACACTGCATGATTAGCACACCCTGTCAGTCTCACTTTCGTTGAAAGTATTTAAAAAATTAAATAAAATAGCAGGTCATTTTTTTAACTTAACAGTGGCGCGTGACCTGCATCACCGGAAGTTGTTAGCGGTCAGCAGTCTGCAATTGGAGCTTGCGATCAGAGCTGCTGCGCTATATCTTTTATTGTTCTTATCATTCTTTTTCAGTTTGTTTCATGTACAGTTCACCGAGGGTACTGGCAAAGAATGGCAATCCGGAGGGCCAAGAGAACCATTTTAAAACGGTACACGAGAGCTACGATAGTGAACACGCGGCAAAAGTGTGTCTATATGCCTGCGCGTCAGGTCTCGACGAAGGTAGGCAGTGATTTTCTCTTCACAAACTCACCAATTCTTGTATCTACTTTATGTTTCTGTTTTCGTTCATCTTTGGGGCCGTTATGGCTGTTGCTCATTATGGCATGTGGCGGTAACTGGCTGGTTGATCGAAAAGTAGATCTTCGGCCAAAAAACATTTGGGCACCCCCGCGCTAGTCGAAGGAAGCAGCTGATCGCCGCAAACATTCGCTGCGAGGCGCGACTGCAAGATTCGGACCATTGTTTTAATTTGTGGGGAAAGAAAAGCAGAATGTCTCCTATAACCACTGACAGACGGTGCTGTAAGTACAGCAAAAATTACATAATTCCGTTCTTAATTAGCAAATTTTATATAGTTATCCCTTCAATTCATAAGTTCTGGACATTAGTAGGAAGTGCTTGATAATATTGTTAAAAGTGTGGAATTACGGCATCTTTAATTGAAACCAGTGTAAATTTTTAGCCATGAAAATCACCAATTCATGAAACAGTCTTAATCATATTGTATGCTCATGTTGTTAATAGTTTTGACATTTGTTTGAAATCATGGACGAATCCAAGGGGTGTGTAAAAATGTTATCTTGCTCTTTCTGTTCCTGGATCTTCCATCTGTGGCGTGATCACAGTGTTTGCGCCAAGCGCGATATTTCCAGTGCTGGTGGCAAATAAATGAGCCCGGCGCTCTTGAAGTGTGCATGGAAGAAGCAAACAAGAGACTGCTAAGGATGGAAGCTAATCAATATGCAGGCAAGTGTGGCATTTGCGAAATCCCAAGTACACAGACGGTGGACAAAATCTTCCTCGCTGATATTGATCGCCTCCATTTATTCTGCAGGCGTCAGTGGAACCGCATGAACAAACTCTTGCACACAAACAGAGCAGCCCAGCTCATGGCACAGATGTGGAAATTCTAGGATGCACACGAACTGAGTCATGTCTGCTAGTTCCTACTCTGAATTGCGTCAAAGGCTGTTCTGGAGGTGTGGCAAATATCGGTAATGCTGAAAAACCTTCGATAGAGTGGTGAAAAACAGCTGCTTGTTGCTGACTGAAGAAAACTTGGGAATGGAAAACGGGAAGATGGCTTGTACACACGAATGAGTCATCGGGAAGTACGTAAAAGATGTGAAGTAGGTCTGATTAAATCTGGCGTTGAGAAACAACGAAAAAAGAACCTCCACATTTCTGCAGTTCTCTAGATTAATTTCATGCTATTATCTAAATAAACAGAACGTATGATTTTCCTCAAGTAAAGTCTTTTTTGAATAGGTTCTCCTGACAAGTGTTTCCGGAAGCCGGCATTTACAGTACACGTTGCCTTCAGCGACTGACATTTGCGTAATTTGCGTCGTCCTCGGCGTCGTTAAGTCTTCAACGTCAAACACATTAACACCCAATCCCTCCAGAGAATTGCATTCACACAACGCGGTTGGTGCCACAACGTCGAGGTGGCCTCTTTGCCAAGCCCGTTCGCTCTCCTCATCTCTCTCCTGCCACATGGTCGGGCTCGTCACGTGGAACGGGAAGAGAGGGGGAGCGCAGTGAAAGAGGGTGGCGTTCAGCGAGGCCATCTGGGCATCCCATCTGCAAGGCAGTTATGGCTCTGACGTTTGCGTTCTGGCAGTGCGCGGCGATCGATTACGAGTGACGGGCCCTGATGAGAAACTCCCCAGACATCTTAATGACGCCGAGGGCTTCTCATAATAGGATGCTGTTAAGGATGACAAATCCTGTAACCTGGTCATGATGACAAGGTGGAAGGAGACACAGGAAAGCAAACAAGTACCCTGGTGGTGCGATTGACGTACCGATTTGGAAATAGTTATAAATGAAATATGAACATTAAGGTAACCACTGCATTATTTCCACAAATTAAAACAGTTTTCTTGGTTGCAGGTTTGTGAGACGCTTCATCACGATCGCTCATGGATCAGGAATTAGAACCCTCTTTGTAGACACTATTTCTTGTTTGGCTGAAATCCGCTCATTTTAGTGCGCAGCCTGTGTGACGTGAGCCAGCGCTCATACTGTCCTGTATACTGCTGGTGCGAATGCGATTTTCATGACAGTAACACCCGGTTTGATGGAGCTCATCGGGGAAGTGTGCACGTTCTAACTTATGAAGACAGCAGTTCATCCACTAGACTGTGTGTATGTGGCACCTGGACACACAGCCAAACATGAATACACCCCGCAGCGCCCCCACATTGACGACACTAACCGATCAAGAACAGTACGAAACTCTTATCAAACGCTAACGCTTTTAACGACATCATTGTTACGTTTCAAAAACGGCAGGGCAAAAAAACCAAAACAAACAAAAAAAAAAACAACCGCTTGCTCACGATTTTCAGAAATTGGTTTTACTTTTGACAACCCCCCCCCCAAAAAAAAACGTTTTATTTCACATTTGGAGGTGTTAGCAGGCATTCCAGAGACCCAAATGTCTGCAACCAAACAATAAAAAGTAACGTTTCCAAAATCTGCCCCCACTAATGCATTGTTAAAATAGGTTTTGTGTCCAAAACTCCAGAGGTGAAATCATATAAGAGTCCATACAGTCGACATCCACTGACCTTTGTTCTCTTGAGCCATGCGTAATGCCCGCAAAGACATTTGGGGGGAAATCTCAAGCTGGCAAACCAGTACTTTTGCAGAAGTGATGGCTGCAAGAGCATCCTGAAGCTCCTCCTTGTTCAGCATCATGTTGGCACCAGCCACAATCACAATGGCATTCTCACCTGCGTGAAGACAACCGCATGCACGGATCTGTGAGGATGACGCAGTTTCCAGACTCAATTAGAGTTATGTGACATCTCCAAACAGTGTTGACTTGATTTTCCGTGCGCAAATTGGCTGTCAAATAAGCTGGATGTCGATCAATTTACAGTACATTTGGCTTTAGAAGTGGGCAACATGTACAGTGACATTGTTGGGTAAAGCCATCTGTGTTCCAGTCACTCATGTAAAACAAAATGAGTGACTTTCATGGATTTTACAATTATAACTCCAGTATCCAGAGTTTTGATATACATGTCATTTATGGGTGAATCAAAAAAAAAACCCATTATTTGTAATTTCCAAGGCATCCATCCACATCCATTTGTTTTCACACTTTTATATTTCCATTTTAGCATTATCAGTGGAAATCAGAATAGGTAGGGTGACCAATCCAGGATTAAACCCTGGATTGGTCACCAGTAAATCACCGGGCACATGAAGTAGACATAAAAAGTATACAGACCCGTTTTTTATGATTGAAAAATACAAGATTTAAAAAAAATAAATAAAAAAATCCAAACTTTTTCCAGTGACCCTATAGTAAAAAATGTGAAAATTCTTGTATCTGCACTTTTATTCTTATCTAAAGGGAATGGGTTCCTCCTTTCTCTTTTCATGGCTTTGCAAAGTTTTGTAGAAATTGTTTTTAAGATTTTTGTGCCAATTATCTTGGTCTTCACTTTAGATCTTTTACAATGTCAGAATGCTGAGTGTCAAAAACTACTGCAATTGGCTGGCAACCGGTTCAGGGTGTCCCCCGCTTACTGCCCGAAGACAGCTGGGATAGGCTGCAGCACGCCCACGACCCTCGAAGCGGATTCGATGGATGGATGGATGGACACCTGACTGATAACTAATCTGACAATGATTTCAGATGATGTGTTAAAAATTATTTTGCAACATTCGTGTGTTTTGGCATTTGATACAGGGGGGATTGAGCTGTAATACAATCTGTAATACAATTTCTTGTGAGCTTCATTACTTGACTTTATCTGCAGTGGACTGTTCACCATGTCAACAAATTTGTTGCAAATTAGAATACACTAAAATGCTTGCTTAGATCACCTGTACATCTGAGGGTGTGTTACCTGATCATTACAGAGAAGTGAGAATATGTACGTCTGTGTGTCTGCGACAGGACTAACAGTGAGCAGCGAGCATGCTTAAAGTAGATTATAAGTGGCTTTAAGATCTCTGCTGTGGAGTCTCAACTGGATTCAAAAGCCTTTACCTGCATCGTTGACAATGATGGAGGCAACGCCGGTGGCTGCTTCGGAGGTCTGTCCAACAAAACCTAAGAAAGTGAGGAACGAAAAAAGAAAACAACACTGCATCACAATGTTGTCACAAGAGCAAAATTTCAAGTTTGATTCTAAAACCAAGCATCGTGGGTAAATGGGTGACCAAATTGGGCTGCCTAGTTGGTGACAGTGGGCTCAACTCTGCTAATTGACAAACGCTATTGATTAATTCCTTGCCTGTCAAAGGCAAGCAGTCGGGGACAAGTTTCTTCATCACAAAATAATTCACACTGGTTTGAATTAGAGAGATACTGGAAGGCATGTTGCTTGAATGTGTCACATGTGCTTACCTGTTGCTCAGTAAGGAGTTTGGCCACTATAATGTGGTGGAGGTTTTCCTTCAGCTAGCTTGACTAATTTTATAGCATGCTTTGCACACAGGCTTTGTCTGTTGGCTATGTAAGCGAAACATTGACAGATTTCCATGCTTCTTCTTTTGTGGTCATTTCTTTTCTCTGTCTTTCACTTTTTCTTCCACCCATGCCAAAAAAGACGGCAACCACTTTGGACACAGAGAAGCGCGCTGTGTAGACGCACAATGTTTGGCACTGTTAGTTTGAAAGTATCGGTACCGAAAAGTCTTGGTTTCAGGCAAATTTTGATGGCACGGTTTTGTGAAAATTTCTGGTAGCCAGTGCGATCCCATTTCAATTTTTATTGATGTATTTATTTCTTGCTCTTAGCTTTTGATTGTCAAAGCAAAAAGTTAGCATACAAGTAGCAAACTTCAAGTCTACTCTGGGCTACAAATGTTGCGCATTGGACCACACTTGTGCACTCAGTGTGCATAAACTATGAAAACTAATTTTGCTGTATTCACATAATTTGGCTGCAACCTTTGTTTGTGAAAATATTGAAACTTTTAGCGCACCTAAAACTCAAAAGCGTGCCTTCTGATGATATCTTGGGAAACACTCATGTTTACCTGTGTACACGCCATTGTCCTTGAAATTCTGGATATAACTGTCTCCAAAGGAGTCGTTACCAACCTAGAATAGACAGAAGACAAAACGATTACAAGGAAGGTGTCAAGCAGGGTCAGACTTGGTTAGCGGCAACGTTTGAAAAGTGTATACTTAAATCTCCGATGGGTTGGATTTTCGTGTGCCCTGCCAGCATACTGGCATGGTGCCGCCGCCGACAATGAGCAAAAGCGAACACACAAAAGTCAACAAAAGCACACACGCGCAAACACACGACCAGCTGCGCCAAGCCTTGAAGACACGATTACCCCGCCTTTACGCCTCTTCATGCCCACCTCGCTTCATTTTCCTTTCTTCCGTCCACATCTATAGCTACTTTGGGTTGTGGAGGGGGTCCCCACCTTGGCCTGAGGCACCTGCTTCGAACCCACGCTCACCAAAAAACATGCCAAAATACGGGTCCTTGTAGCTGTGTGATGATGGGTTGGGCTGGTATTGGCTGCTTGGCCTCATTCACTTTGAAGAGTGGCCTTCTGTCTTGGATGTTTTTGATAAGCCAGAATGTCTATTTTTGGGTTCTCCCCATGCCCGGAGAGCTCCTCCTGCACTGGGTTGTTATCGATCGGGCCTCTTTGTTCTGACAGAGGTGGGGCGCCGGTGCTTTAGTGCTTGGGTTGAAAGGCCACACCATGCTTACTGATCGGAGATGTAGGGTTGTGTCGTATGGGAATAGGCTTGTTTGGAGGCGTGCAAGAGTGGGTGGCGTATGCACGCAGTCTGGTATTGATCAAGAGAAAATGAGACATGGAGAGTTTATGCCATAAAATGAAGTTTGGGGAGTTGCTAAAAAGTTGTTGGAAAATAAGTCGCTTTGGTGTGAACAGCGTAGTGAACACTCGCAGTGTGGATATACAGTTGCTGACTTAGTTGATCGAGCAAGTCGTGAATGATCATCTGGCCGTCGTCCTCCATGAACCAGGTACTAAGTCCCCTGTTAAATCGCAAACAGATCCAACACAAACATCACACGTGGCAATTTTGCACTTTTCGGAACAGTTTGATCTGTGTTCGACTGGATAAGTAGTGTGATTACCAGTATGACAATGGCAGGGAGGACGGGTTCCATTGATGCCATCATGACCCAAATGGTCAGCATAAATTCCTTTCGCTGCACCTTCCTCCAAAACCTCACAAACATTTCACACACCAAAAGTCTACCAAGCTTTAGAACTGCAAAGGCTGGTATGCGCGTCTGTCCTACTATTGACTTTTTTACTCTGTCAAAATGGGTATTGTGGGGGACTCGGCACACGGGACGGACAGTTAGACATCGTTACTGTACATACCTTGGCGACCATTGCGGTTTTGGCCCCTAGTCTTGCAGCTTGTACGCACTGGTTGGCCCCTTTTCCTCCAAAGCCAATGAAGAAGTTGTGACCATGGATGGTTTCCCCTTCTTTTGGGAGCCTTGCTGATTGGCTGAGGGTAAAAACAAAAATTACTTAGTGTGACTACAAAGATACATTTTAAATGTACATGACTTAACTTTTAGACAGTATGTACTGAGTTTCATTAAACACTGGATATAACATTTCAGGACCAACTCATTCCATACTTATTTATTTATTACGTTTTGGAGCAACTGGCATAAGCTTTATTTATTTTTTATTTATTTACACTCTGCAGTTTGTGTCTATTACTCTATTAAGTTTTCCAGATGTTCTATTAATACTAAAAAAAAAAAAGATATTTTAAGTTGGAAAAAAAATGCTTTTACATTAAAACACTGCCTTACCCGAATATCTGGGAGATATATGCAAGTAAGTGTGTCCAAATTTGGCAAAACGATGGAAGGAGCCAAAAGTGGAGTGGAAGTCAATGGCAGCACCAGTAATAGCTGACTCATCAACGTTGGTTGAAGTACAGCCCCTCTGCTCCCCCCTTTTTGGCACAGGTGGGTGCCCTTACGAGTTGTCTGTCCTCCACCAATAATAGAGAGACTGGAAGGTGAGTAATATGGGCAAAGAGAAAACGGCAGTATCATGCGTGCGTCAAGACGTGGTTTGGCCTCGGGCCAGTGTTGCCACAGAGCCAAAGGACCTGCGGTTGGTAAAATGTTGTCATTAACTTGTTCTCCCCCTCTGTTGTTGGGACTTTCTTTTCGACATAAGTATGTGTGGGAACGTTTGTTTGACGCAGGTGTGCTATATTAAAGTTTCCTCAATCCCTGCATTTCCAGTAAACCGAGACAGTCAGAACACGAGAGGATGCTATAAATGCTGCTTTTGCATTGGTGCGTGAAAACACTCCAATGCCAAAAGCGGGAACAGGATGTGAGGTCAGAAAGGCAGCAATGGGGTGAGAGGGAAATGGCACAAAGGGCGAACATTTAATCACACACACACAACCTAGTCGCCACTGCGAAAGCTCAGCTGAGAAAATTCTAGATGAAAAGAATTTACACAAGACATAAATTAGACTATGAGTATGATTGATATCGTTTTCATGATAAGATAGAAAGAAATAGTGCCGAAAGCACAATCCTGGAACATTTTCTCCCACAGAAGTGAAATAGGTGTTCTGTGTCATGAACCCTTTCAGGGACAGCGGTCAGTACAGTGGACAGCCTATCATGTTATCAGGTTACAGGTTATCATTATTGGTGCATGAAAGGGTTAAAAGCAGCGCTTAGTTCCATCTTGTCTGACTCCATTGATGTAATTCACGGACAAACCGTTGGTGTGTGGGTGCGCAGTTGCGAGTGTGTGTGTGTGTGTGTGTGTGTGTGTGTGTGCGTGGTTCTGTGTGTGTGTCTGTTTGCAAAGTACTCCAGTATTTCCAGTTTTGTAGACCCAGATTTTGGACTATGCTAACCTGAGCAAGACGGAAGCCAAGAAACCATGAAACCAAGATGAATCACTTCAAAACTTTTTTTGTATTTTGGTTAAATTTCTAGACAAAATGGGCTTTGTAGACTTCAGAATTCCTTCTGCTGAGTTACATCATCAATAAAGACTAGTGAGCCAGTTCCAGAAGCTGCCATGCAAGCCCAAGTCCTGACCTTAGCTCCACCATGCTTCATAGATGAGCTTTTGGATCGTAAGCAGATCCTGGCTTTCTCCATACTATGGCCTTACCATCCCTCTAGAGATAAAGCTTGGTCTCATCGGTCTAAAAAGCTATGCTCAAAAACCTTTGTGGCTCATCACTGTACTTCTTTGCAAAACCCAATCTGGCCTTCCAATTGCTTTTGCTGATGAGTGGTTTACATCTTGTGGTATGGCCTGTATATTTCTTCTCTTTTCGTCTTCTTTTTGGCAGCACGATGGTTGATTGGTTAGCACGTCTGCCTCACAGTGCAGAGGTGCAGGGTTCAATTCGGGCTCCGGCCTTCCTGTGTGGACTTTGCATGTTCTCCCTGTGCCTGTGTGGGTTTTCTCCGGTTACTCCGGTTTCCTCCCACAATGCAAAAACATGCATGGCAGATTAATGGAACACCCTAAATTGTCCCGAGATGTGATTGTGAGTGCGAATGGTTTTTCGTCTATGTGTGCCTTGCGATTGGCTGGCAACCGGTTCAGGGTGTACCCCGCTTAATGCCCGAAGATGCCTGGGATAGGCTCTAGCAGACCTGCGACCCTTGTGAGGATAAGCGGATTAGAAAATGGATGGATGGATGGATGGAAATCTTTTTCTTTGAACAGTGGATTGTGATACCTTCAATCCTGCCCTGTGGCGGTCGGCAGTGATGTCACTGACTTGTCTTTGGGTATTTATTCACAGCTCTCTCTCACAATGCTTCTGTCATCAACTGCTGCTAATGCAACTTGGTCAACCTGTTCAATGTTTGTCACTCAGTACGCCGATAGATTCTTTCTTTTTCAGGACCTTCCAAATTGTTGTACTGGCTATGATCGATTTTTGTGCAATAGCTCTGGTGGGGTCACGTGTTCCAATACTGGCTTCAAAACAAACAAATATTGCTCTGTCCTAAGTTGTTGAACTTGTCGACAGTAGATGTAAATACCATCAAATAAAAGCTATAATTCTGAATGTTGGTTCTGTATTCATCCATTGATCAAAAACCCAAATGTCTATAGCGTACAATAAAAAAAAAGAATTGACCTTGCCGTGACTTATGATTGGGCTCGCGATCAGTCCAGGGCGTGCCCCACGCCTTGACCAAAGTCAACTGGGCAGTCTAGTATACCCGCGACCCTAGTGAGGGCAAAGCAGTACAGAAAATGGATGGATGGAGAATAGAAAGCCTTTATTACCATTGTATCAACAGTACTAAAGTGTACATGGCTGTCATGCCTGGATCAGACTACTAGAAAAATGTGATCTCTCACGATGGCACTAGATCACATTACGGCGATAAAATCCTCAGTCAGAACACTGGCAACACAACACGACATATATTAGGACATCAACGTATCCCGACTTGTACCATAATTGGACTCATCTTGTCAAATCAAGCTGTTGAGGGAGGTGGGACGGAAAAACGTTCGAGGCCATAACAGTGACCGTAGTGGTGGCAACAACAACAATAATGGAGGAAGAGGCGCCAGCTTTGATTGCGGCAATATCATGTGTTGGAATATAAACAACAAAAATATGAAAAATGCCTGTGAGGTCATCCTTGGGTGACGGTTTGGGCTGTCCATTCTTCAAGGAGAGCTTGAGGTAATGTTCATGCTACTTTTAATACCGGCAGCAAGTAGTCAACGTAATGTAATGCAGCGAGATACGTAGCTATGTTATAAGGTCATGATAATCGTCACATCTGACATCAAAAGTACTGGGCTGCCGCTGCCGTAAACCCCTCCATTGTTGCTGAATTAACACCATTCTGCAAGGAGGAGCGGGCCGAAATATCTCCACAGAGATGTGAAAGACTCCGTGCTGGTGATAGAAAATGTTTGCTGGTTGCTGCCGAAAGTGGCCCAACCAGTTTTTAGGTTCAGGGGGGCAAGTACTTTTTCACGCAGGGCCAGCCGGCTTTGAATTTTTTTCCCCTTTAACAATAAATCACCATTTAAAAACAGCATTTTCACTAGGTTTATCTTTGTGTGTTTATTGATATTTCTTGTGATGACTTTAAACATTAAAGTGGGGATCAACTACTTTTTCATCGTATGTCGCTTCTCATTTCCATGGCTAATTCATGTTATTTTTGTTAGGGAGGGGCCAACCAGGCAGCCTTCTCAGCCAGAGTGCTCTGCACCTCACACCTGAGACTCGCCAGTTCATCACCCACCTGTAGTTCATCAGCTCATTTGAGCTGGTATAAATTGGCTCCCAAACCAGTCCTCAGTGCAAGTTTGCGCTGTAACCAGCCTACAGTGAATTCTGTTGGCCTCTCCTGAAGTTTTTGTTTCCTGTTCAGACCCTTCCCTGTGAATTCCTCGTGCTTCTCCCTAAACTTTAAGTAAGTCCCAGTTTTTCCCTGAGTTGACTTTGCAAAAGCTCTAAATCAGGGGTGTCAAACTCCGGTCCTGGAG